AGGTAATGGATGGCAAGGGAAAGAAGAAAGAAACCCTTGATAACACGATCTCAGTGTAGAAAACTCCACCTTGTGCTGGCCTTGTATGTGGGAATAAAGAGAAAAATGAGTACAATCCCACCCTAAAGACAAACCACTCCTCAATAGTAGAACAAAGTGATAAGTGCATAGTATTAGTATATCTCAATGTTAATTTGACATATATTTTGTTTCGATTTTGTATAAAATGCTTGATAACTACCCCAATTTCACTTGTTTTGTAGGAGTAGAAGAATTCAGGGAGTCAAAATTGTATTTTGAAGAAAAGAAGAAGAATTCAAACATCTTTAAAGAAATTTGTCACAGCAAGACTACAACACCATTTTGAGGGCTTGAGCCACGAAGAAAACCTAGCAAAGAAGGTTTCCTTAAGCCTTGAGTTAAGGCTCAAGCCATGAAGAATCCTTCATCATGAAGTAACGTCAGACAACTCTAGTCCATAACTCACTACTTAAAGCAATAGGGGAAACCGACCAAGGGAAGAAACCTCACAGCTGAAGCCATGAACCACCTTTGGAGCCATGCTGTCAGAGTTTATAAATACCAGAATTTTAGACAAACTAGAGAAACTTCAAGGACTTCAGTTTTAAACACCTTTGAGAGCACTTTGAGAGAGAGACTCTAAAGAGTTTTCTCACCCACATCCTATGTAATTAATATAACATCTTTATAAGATTAAGAAATGAATTCTCTTCATTACTTGTATTTATTTTTATAATTTATAGAGAGCTAAATCTCCATGTAAACTCTCTTATCTAGTAATTTTGGAAATTAATGAATAAATAAAAATATTTATTTTTCTAGTAATTTTAGAAATTAATGAATAAATATCTCATACCTATTTTTTGGATTTTAGTGAGTTACAAATGTCTCGGTATTATGAAAGTTATTGTTTATGAGTTGCTAGTTCAATAAATTTTTAAAATGATTGATTTTTATGTACCATTTTAAAGGCTAAGAGATAATATATTTTTTAATTTAATATGATTCCATCCAACTCAATTATAATTAAATTAAATAAAAACAAACTTAATACATTGATATTTAATTAAACTAAGTTTAAAATTAGATTAATCTAATTCTATATGTACCACTTACATCATAATGTAAATATACTATCATGTATAAATCCATGTAAAAAATAATTTAACAACTGCTTAATAAATTTGGCAGAGATAGATGTTGAGTTTAAATATGATGCATTTACTGTGTGGCAGGTGATTTATTGAAAATTAAGAGGTGTTTGGTTGTGCTTTGGGACCAGCTTATTTTGGTGCTGTAACTAGCTAGTTGGAATTTTGGTGCATGTATCCTCTACTTTCGAATTTATTTACTTTTATCAAATAAATTTTAATTTTTTTGTAAATTTATGCATATTGAATTTTCATTAAAAATTTTAGTTTTATTAAATTTATTAAAAATATATTTAAATATTTTAGATTTTCAACTAAAAAATACAAATTTAAATATTCAATAAAAACAAAAAATAATTAATATTTTCTTCCAATATCTGTAAGATCGTATTCATGCCTACAGTTGCGCAATAAATTTTCTTCCAAGAACTTTCCGCAATAAATAAAGCAGATTTGCAAATAAAGCTAATATATATTTATTATACTTTCTTTTATGATAAATTAAAAACCTAAATACTAATAAAATATTCCAATCATAATTAATTTTGTAAGAAATTTAGATTATGATATATTAATAACTACCGTTACAAAGATAAACTATAAATATCTATAAATTTTTATAATTATATTATTAATTTTTTATTAATATATACTTATTCTGTAATCCAATAAAATAAAATAAAATAATTTAATATTTTATTAATATATGTTTTACATTATAATAGTTTGTAAATTAATTATTTTTAATATGTTTTTATTTTGAAATATAACATTTTTATTTATTAAATTTTTCTATAATTTTTTATTATAAATTCTAATTTATATTTTTTAAAAGTATTTTTTATATCAAATACTTTTGCAATTTTTATTTTTTAAATTACTTTTTAAATATATTAATATAAAAAAAATATTTTATCATACATTACAAAACTTTCCTCTCATTTCCTTCCTTTATCACTCCAAAATCCAGTCTTTAATAACACAAGTTTCATCATTTTCTACACTTCATCCTTTCTATTTTATATTAGTCTCGCGTTGTGCTCTTTCATTCTTCATCATCTTATTCTTCCAATATTAGTCTTCCATCTCTCTTCCCTGTTTTTTCATCTTCTTCTTACACCAGTTTTCCACTTCTTTCTCTCTCTATATCTTCTTCTTTCAATATGTATCTTTATTGAAAATATTAAATTGTGTAATTTAAAATGTGTTATGTATTTTATATTTTAATTTCTATATTCTGAAAGTCTTCATATTAAACAATCAGAAACTTAAAATTCTAAATCAGAAGCTAAATATGAATTTTTAGAATTTACGAGGTGCTGATTGAAACTATGGACTGGAAGTGCAGGAAAAAGCTGCCCTGATTCATGGGTGTTACTCACTCCACCACCACAACTTGCTTTCTCCACCACCCCATTCCCCTTTTATCCTTTTCTTTATTTTTTCATTCCTATTTTACCCTTATTAAAATTTTAGGGTTAATGTTATTTAAAATCTCACGTGAACATTCATTCTCTTTATCATTCTNAATTTTGGAAATTAATGAATAAATAAAAATATTTATTTTTCTAGTAATTTTAGAAATTAATGAATAAATATCTCATACCTATTTTTTGGATTTTAGTGAGTTACAAATGTCTCGGTATTATGAAAGTTATTGTTTATGAGTTGCTAGTTCAATAAATTTTTAAAATGATTGATTTTTATGTACCATTTTAAAGGCTAAGAGATAATATATTTTTTAATTTAATATGATTCCATCCAACTCAATTATAATTAAATTAAATAAAAACAAACTTAATACATTGATATTTAATTAAACTAAGTTTAAAATTAGATTAATCTAATTCTATATGTACCACTTACATCATAATGTAAATATACTATCATGTATAAATCCATGTAAAAAATAATTTAACAACTGCTTAATAAATTTGGCAGAGATAGATGTTGAGTTTAAATATGATGCATTTACTGTGTGGCAGGTGATTTATTGAAAATTAAGAGGTGTTTGGTTGTGCTTTGGGACCAGCTTATTTTGGTGCTGTAACTAGCTAGTTGGAATTTTGGTGCATGTATCCTCTACTTTCGAATTTATTTACTTTTATCAAATAAATTTTAATTTTTTTGTAAATTTATGCATATTGAATTTTCATTAAAAATTTTAGTTTTATTAAATTTATTAAAAATATATTTAAATATTTTAGATTTTCAACTAAAAAATACAAATTTAAATATTCAATAAAAACAAAAAATAATTAATATTTTCTTCCAATATCTGTAAGATCGTATTCATGCCTACAGTTGCGCAATAAATTTTCTTCCAAGAACTTTCCGCAATAAATAAAGCAGATTTGCAAATAAAGCTAATATATATTTATTATACTTTCTTTTATGATAAATTAAAAACCTAAATACTAATAAAATATTCCAATCATAATTAATTTTGTAAGAAATTTAGATTATGATATATTAATAACTACCGTTACAAAGATAAACTATAAATATCTATAAATTTTTATAATTATATTATTAATTTTTTATTAATATATACTTATTCTGTAATCCAATAAAATAAAATAAAATAATTTAATATTTTATTAATATATGTTTTACATTATAATAGTTTGTAAATTAATTATTTTTAATATGTTTTTATTTTGAAATATAACATTTTTATTTATTAAATTTTTCTATAATTTTTTATTATAAATTCTAATTTATATTTTTTAAAAGTATTTTTTATATCAAATACTTTTGCAATTTTTATTTTTTAAATTACTTTTTAAATATATTAATATAAAAAAAATATTTTATCATACATTACAAAACTTTCCTCTCATTTCCTTCCTTTATCACTCCAAAATCCAGTCTTTAATAACACAAGTTTCATCATTTTCTACACTTCATCCTTTCTATTTTATATTAGTCTCGCGTTGTGCTCTTTCATTCTTCATCATCTTATTCTTCCAATATTAGTCTTCCATCTCTCTTCCCTGTTTTTTCATCTTCTTCTTACACCAGTTTTCCACTTCTTTCTCTCTCTATATCTTCTTCTTTCAATATGTATCTTTATTGAAAATATTAAATTGTGTAATTTAAAATGTGTTATGTATTTTATATTTTAATTTCTATATTCTGAAAGTCTTCATATTAAACAATCAGAAACTTAAAATTCTAAATCAGAAGCTAAATATGAATTTTTAGAATTTACGAGGTGCTGATTGAAACTATGGACTGGAAGTGCAGGAAAAAGCTGCCCTGATTCATGGGTGTTACTCACTCCACCACCACAACTTGCTTTCTCCACCACCCCATTCCCCTTTTATCCTTTTCTTTATTTTTTCATTCCTATTTTACCCTTATTAAAATTTTAGGGTTAATGTTATTTAAAATCTCACGTGAACATTCATTCTCTTTATCATTCTTCCCTCTTTCTCTTTATTATTTTTCTCAGTTCACTCTTATGTTCCACTATTGTTGGGTTGTCTCTCATGTTCCACTTCTTCTTCTCTCTTATAGAATTGTGACGTGAGAGTGTGATGGACTTTGTGCTTAGTAAGATTGAAAGTGGGGAAAGCAATTCATCTTAAGCAGTGAGTGGGGTGGTGCTTCAAGGTGCTAGTTCAGAGGCGTGAGAGGTTCAGAAGCGTGAAGGTGCGTAATAAAACCCTAAAATATAAACCGTAATCTTTAAACGGATGTGAGCATCCGTCGACGGATGTCAACATCCGTTTAAGGGAAAACGGATGTCGACTGTTTTTCTCTCTGAAAAGTGATTCGCAGAGAGCCATTTCAACACCGCGATTCTCCATCCATTGCAGAGACATCCATTAGCAGAACCGACATATATATATTCACCTTATTCCCATTCTTTTCCCTCCATACCATCTGTCAAACAAGGAATGCATATTAAAAAGATCTCAATCATAACCAAAAATTAGAAATATGTTTTCTTCATGTACAAAAAAGAAGAAACTTACTTGTTGCCTTCAACTTCATTTTCTGATTGTAGGAAACCGAAGTATTCTTCTTGGAATGACGATCTTCCCTGAAAGAATATAAATGATTGTAGTCTTTTGAAGAAGTGTAAAATGGTGAAATAAAAATGGTGCAAACTGTGGTGGAGGAAAATGGTATAAAGGTTATTTTTATAATTAAAGTAAATATAGATTTTAGGATTAAAGTAAATAATTAAAATTAAAAAGTATAAAGGTTATTTTTGTAATTATAAAAGGTTAGTTTTGTAATTCAAAAAATATATAATAGAATTGGAGAGGTAGAGGAAGCAAGTTGTGGTGGTGGAGGGAGTAACACCCCTGATTTATATGCTAAATGAGCCATTGGTTATATTTTTGGGCAAGTTCATTTTTTGTCCGCATGATGTATCAAGAGGGTTTCTTCCTACATCTCCACATTTTTTAAAAATCTTAAACTATTCCTTACAATTCAAAAAATCCTATATTTCACTTCTTTTCCATAAATTTGTTAAAAAAAAATCATTCAACAAATTTCAAAATTTATTAAAGAATTTTTTAAACTTTCAACGAATTTTAAAATTTATTGAAGTTTTAAAAAAACCTTTAACAAATCTTTTTTTTTTTCAACAAATTTTGAAATTTATTGAAGGATTTTCAAAATCTGTTAAAAAGTTTTCAAAAGTTTTAAGGAATTTTAAAATTTGTTAAAGAAGGATAATTTTGAAACGTAGAAATGCAGGAAAAAAGATGAGGTGGTGTAAGAAGAACGATTCAAGGCTCAAAATCAATGACAACCCCATCATAAGATACTCCAATTTCTTTGGTTTTAGCATGTTTCCCATTGATCCATTTGCAAATAAAATTGTATAGCACTGTTTTACGAGCAAATAAATATTTAAATTTATTAAAAAATATAAATAAATACTAATTTTGAATTTTCCACTATTAATTTTTATATTTTTAATTTGAATGAAAGAAAGTGTAACAAACAATAAAATATATTTTAATGTTTATTTCAAGAGGAATTTAATTTTCATTAGTACATGAAAATAAAGCTCATACATTTTAATATTTGTTCACTTTTCAAAATCTTGATTAAACAAATGAGTCGCATAATCTCTCGCATAATCTTGATGCACATGACAGTTTTTAAATATCATATTAATTTGTGTCATGATAAAAAAAAATACGCAAAAAGAAATACTACAGACAAATTTTGAATAATTAAAAGAACGATTGAAAGATAAATATAAGGAATTTCAACATATTCATATTTGACACAAATAAATGAATTAAAATATGAACATGAGTGTTTCTTTATTAATTTTTTTATATTAACGTTACAATAATAGTCCGTGTTTTATGCTTAGGGTTTTAGGGTTGGTTTTTTCAAATAAAATATTTTTCATTCAACTTTATTATTTATTAACAACTTTAAATCTCATTTAGCAGTATAGAACTTAAAAAGTTTGATAATACACAACATATAATTAGAAAATATATATAATATTAATACAATTATCCATCTTAATCACTATACTAACAAAATATATATACAAAACAAATAAAAACTACAATAATTTTTAAAAAAGAAAGAACTCCCATACAAAACAACTTAAGAGAACTATAAAACTATTTTGTTGCGTCATCGTTTATCACCAAATGCATATCATCACCTACTTCAGCATATGCTCACAGCGTGAAGTGAAAATCGCAAAAGAACATCAAAACACAGAAAAGAAAACAAGGTAAGTTAGTGTGCAAAAAGAAATATCCTAAGATAATTAAATCACATCACATATAAGTTAAACATTGATAAATGCAATAACTCATGTAACATAAGGATTATCACCCTACTATTTACAGTCCCTTCTGCGTAGGACCAAATAGTTTAATGGTCAGGACCATTTGTCATTCTCTCCCGCTTATCACTCTGCTCTATATGAGTTGAATGGTTGGTAGAATATAAGCATATATTCTGAACTCTCATATATCAACGCATACACTAAACATACCACCACACAAAATTTTTCCTTGAAATTCTCTCAACAACATTTCCAAACATATCCATAACAAAATCCTTATTTCTGCACACATAGTCATACTTACAAACATACTTAAATTTTATTTAAATCAATGTGAGACAGCCAAGAAGAAAAACAATCAAAATGCATACTGCCGCTTAGTGGTGGTGCTTATTTCTTCCCAAGGTGGTGCTTAGTGTTATTCTTCTTGCAAAAAGTCGGGCTCAATGACACTCTTCTACCACTCAGCGTCCTAGAATTAAATTCTTCATACCTGTAGTGCAAGATGATGCTCAACGGTATTAGTGAAAAGGGCAAAACAGAGAATTCAGAGAGTGGAGGGGTAAAACAGAGAAAAGCACCCTTTCAGTGTTTAATTAAAACACCCGTGTCCGTAGCAAGAGAGAGAAAACGTGTAAGAGAGTTTTCTAGAAAGAGAGAGATCAGAGAATGAAAATGGAGGAGCTCTGCTAGGGCACGCACACACCAAAGATGAAGATGATCAGAGAGTAGAGAAAAACGGAAAAGCATGCACACACAAGGTACTGAGTAACATCTAAATGTATTTCAGTTTTTTAAGTTTGCTTTTATAGCTGTTCTGATACACTGAATCTGTTTTGTTTTTGTTTATTCTAACACTCCTCCTAAACAAAAATGTTTAATCGAACAAAACACGATTTTATTGAAGAAAACACTTGTTTCACCGATTCAATCGGTGAAAATTTCTTCTCCTGTGATTCTGAGCTTTTGGACCGATTTTAATCGGTACAAACACTTTCTCTGTAGCATACGAGCACTTTCCACCGATTAAACTCGGAGAAAGCTCTTCCTAGGTTGATCTCCTCCTCTTCGGCGGAAACTCTAGGTTTTCGCCCTCCTTCTGGTGCGATCTTCACTGANCTGTCAAACAAGGAATGCATATTAAAAAGATCTCAATCATAACCAAAAATTAGAAATCTGTTTTCTTCATGTACACAAAAGAAGAAACTTACTTGCTGCCTTCAACTTCATTTTCTGATTGTAGGAAACCGAAGTGTTCTTCTTGGAATGACGATCTTCCCTGAAAGAATATAAATGGTTGTAGTCTTTTGAAGAAGTGTAAAATGGTGAAATAAAAACGGTGCAAAGTCAAGTACCATAAAATAAGTTGCAGAAAAACCTTGTGAATAATCAACCACACTCCCTACAGACGTTTGTTGGTTGCCCCTTGTAACATTGTCCTGCAAATTTTTTCAAGAATCATGAGTGAGAAAACACATTGAAAGGAAGAAATAACATGCAAGCTCAAAAGACGAAGCATACAGTGGAAAAGTCAAAGACAGGAGAGCTAGCAGTGTCATGAAGAAAAGTGAGATGTTGATCCTCAAGGTGTTGATTTTCCTTAACTTTCTGCTTCTTTTTACCACTCTTGGCCAGCTTGACTGCCTTGGAAGCTGAATAGAAGCAACCATTGACATCTTCTTTGAAGTAAGAGTCGTAGTGTGGAAAAAGAGGAGGTCCAGAAGAAGCATCAGAAAGCATGGACAAATCCTCCTCCCCAGAATCTTCACCTTTGAATCTTTTGTCCTTGTGTTCCTCTTCAAAGAACCCCTCAGTTCCACCCTGATGTGAAGAAGCATTCTGGTTAAGGAAAGATTGCTCCAGGTATAGAGTCCAACCAGACTCACACCCACTACTTCCAAGTTCTGAACCAAACGTGTTCATCTTTCTATCTTTAATTTTGTTTTTCCAATTTATGATGAAAGAGTTGGTGTAGTGCCAAAAGGAAGAAAAGAATGAAAGAAATTATCAAAGTGTTGCAGAGGCTATTAAGGGAATGGAAATGTGGTTTTGGTTTGGGGAGCAATGTCCACAGAGGGAGAGACACCAAGTTGTACTGAAAGAACAAGAGTGGATATGAGGTTGAAAAGAGCATAGAGAATGAGAGTGAAATAAATGGCAGACTCCTTTTGTCCTCACTCTCCTCTCTCGTTCGGCTTTGTATGCAAATGAGTAAGTGCCAGTTGGGTGAGCCACACCTCTTTCACATGCTAGACAGCAAAGCACTGTGTAAGTGTACCCTCTTACCAGACCCAAATTACCCTCTTCACAATCAAAATACTCTGCATCTCTATTTCCTCTGTACACACCTTTTTCATTCAAATTAAACATTATATTTTTTACATATCAAAAAATTAAAACACATAAAAGAAATTAGTACTATTTAATTAATTTACAAGCTTTATATACAAGTGCATCAATGGAGAGACCGAAAATGTTTTGGGGCATAGTGCAGTTGACTATGATTTTATGTATCCACATGCAATCACATTCTCAATCCTTTTCTCCTTTCCAAAACTTTCCACTGCCAGGATTTACATAAGCATGTGGGCACGTGTGCATTGAGTTTGCCTTACAATCTTTGCATTCAAAAGGACAGGCTTCAACGCGTAACTATTTAAAAATTCATTATAATATTCTTTATATATAGTTTCCATAAATCATCAAGTTCTTCAATTTATCTTCTTTTGCCTTTTAAAATTGCTTTCATACTTTTTATATATAACGTATCTTTCTTTTATTTAAAACATTCAAATCCCTCAGCGTTTATCCAAACTTCCAATGTTACGTACTATTTAAACACATGTCTGCACGTGTACATGCACTTCCATCTAAATCCCGCCTGCATTTTTTTTCTACTTCGATAAGTGTATTGTAAGACGTGGTATAATAATTCATAAATCATAAAATCATAAATAAATTTCACCAATACAACACAATTTTATAAATAAATTCAAATATATATATATATATATATATATATATATATATATATATATACACACACACATATATAATATTGGAATTGTTAAAATATTTTTCATTTTAAATATCAATTCAGTCCACTTTATTTATAAATTGAGAGCAACAAATGAATATAAATTCAAAATATGGATAATGATTCTTAATCTTAGCTATTTAAAAGGTGTTATGCACGTGACGATGGTCAAATAATAGAAGTACTAGCTAGGTACTATTAGACGACTGCGAGACAATTTAAATAGCCAGAGAAAAGATACAGAAGAAGCCTAATCTGTATTATTTAATTATTGATAGAATAAATATAAATAATAATTTAACTATTACTTTTGGTTTTAGTCCTAAAGAACATAGTTGCGTTAATATGATTCAATATACCTGAATCTTTAATTAAAGACATAAGTTTAGTAAAAAAAAAATTCAGAACATATTGAAATGATAATATATTTAAAATTTAATATATTGTATAAATATTTTAACATTAAAAGTGAAAGCATTATCTTACAATAATGAAATTATTTCTTAAAATTGTAAAGAAAAATTAGAAATATTACAAATCTTGTAAAACCTCATATCATAACTTAAGAACATAAATTTAAAATATATATTGTTTTGACATCACATTTAAAAACAATTACCTGAATTAGTTTTTAAAGATATTTCGATATATATATATATATATATATATATATTTGTCACCGACGCCAGCTCTTAAATTGAACTGCTAAATATACATAACAATTATCATAGAACTCATTTAAAACAAAATACAATTTCCTGATACTGTATGATCAATAAATTATAATTGGTCTTATGATGATTATATTTTATAATTACCATAATTTTATTTAAATACATAAATATTATTGCTAATAAATAACAAAATATTAATGTATAAAATAAAATAAAAAAACAAGTTTTAATATATTTCATTTTATATAGCTCAACTAATAGAAATTAATCAATTCTATTCTTCAAAACATACACTATACAATTTGACTCTTGAGTAGACTTTTTTTTTCAACTTTTAGAAAGTAAGATGCAATCAAAATTTTGTTTTTATTCCCCTTTTTTCATTCAAATTAAACATTATATTTTTTACATATCAAAAAATTAAAACACATAAAAGAAATTAGTACTATTTAATTAATTTACAAGCTTTATATACAAGTGCATCAATGGAGAGACCGAAAATGTTTTGGGGCATAGTGCAGTTGACTATGATTTTATGTATCCACATGCAATCACATTCTCAATCCTTTTCTCCTTTCCAAAACTTTCCACTGCCAGGATTTACATAAGCATGTGGGCACGTGTGCATTGAGTTTGCCTTACAATCTTTGCATTCAAAAGGACAGGCTTCAACGCGTAACTATTTAAAAATTCATTATAATATTCTTTATATATAGTTTCCATAAATCATCAAGTTCTTCAATTTATCTTCTTTTGCCTTTTAAAATTGCTTTCATACTTTTTATATATAACGTATCTTTCTTTTATTTAAAACATTCAAATCCCTCAGCGTTTATCCAAACTTCCAATGTTACGTACTATTTAAACACATGTCTGCACGTGTACATGCACTTCCATCTAAATCCCGCCTGCATTTTTTTTCTACTTCGATAAGTGTATTGTAAGACGTGGTATAATAATTCATAAATCATAAAATCATAAATAAATTTCACCAATACAACACAATTTTATAAATAAATTCAAATATATATATATATATATATATATATATATATATATATATATACACACACACATATATAATATTGGAATTGTTAAAATATTTTTCATTTTAAATATCAATTCAGTCCACTTTATTTATAAATTGAGAGCAACAAATGAATATAAATTCAAAATATGGATAATGATTCTTAATCTTAGCTATTTAAAAGGTGTTATGCACGTGACGATGGTCAAATAATAGAAGTACTAGCTAGGTACTATTAGACGACTGCGAGACAATTTAAATAGCCAGAGAAAAGATACAGAAGAAGCCTAATCTGTATTATTTAATTATTGATAGAATAAATATAAATAATAATTTAACTATTACTTTTGGTTTTAGTCCTAAAGAACATAGTTGCGTTAATATGATTCAATATACCTGAATCTTTAATTAAAGACATAAGTTTAGTAAAAAAAAAATTCAGAACATATTGAAATGATAATATATTTAAAATTTAATATATTGTATAAATATTTTAACATTAAAAGTGAAAGCATTATCTTACAATAATGAAATTATTTCTTAAAATTGTAAAGAAAAATTAGAAATATTACAAATCTTGTAAAACCTCATATCATAACTTAAGAACATAAATTTAAAATATATATTGTTTTGACATCACATTTAAAAACAATTACCTGAATTAGTTTTTAAAGATATTTCGATATATATATATATATATATATATATATATATATATATATATATATATATATATATATATATATATATATATATAATATTTTGTCACCGACGCAGCTCTTAAATTGAACTGCTAAATATACATAACAATTATCATAGAACTCATTTAAAACAAAATACAATTTCCTGATACTGTATGATCAATAAATTATAATTGGTCTTATGATGATTATATTTTATAATTACCATAATTTTATTTAAATACATAAATATTATTGCTAATAAATAACAAAATATTAATGTATAAAATAAAATAAAAAAACAAGTTTTAATATATTTCATTTTATATAGCTCAACTAATAGAAATTAATCAATTCTATTCTTCAAAACATACACTATACAATTTGACTCTTGAGTAGACTTTTTTTTTCAACTTTTAGAAAGTAAGATGCAATCAAAATTTTGTTTTTATTGATAGATAAAAAGTTGACTCAAAAAAAAATTACTAAAAATATAATTTCCATAAAGTTATATATTATATAATATATATATATATATATATATATATAATATATATATATCATGGAACTCCACAGATCCGTGCCATATGTTCTCAATTTAAAATGTTTATTATAAACAAATTTTTAATTAGTGACAAATTATTATCGACAACAGCCAATTCGTTTGTAAGCTCAAATTTAGGAATAAATTTTACAATTTAATTTACAAATGGATATTTTGGTTAATAACTTATGATTATAGTTATTAATTACTTAAGTCATCAACATTATTAATTGATAAATAACAATTTATATTATTAATAGACGTTTTTTTCGATAAATTATCATTACCATAATCGATGATTAAAGTCATCAATATAATCCATCAATGAATTACATTATTTATTGTTGACGATATTTTTGTTTGTAACATATCATTACAATTATTTACAATCATTTTACCTCAATAAATCCATTATATATTTGGACAACAAAATTTTCGTTTAATATACAAGTGTTTTTTGTATGTTAAGAAAATATGAGTTAAAAAAATAGCAAAAAAGAGAAGAATAGGAAGAGGAGGATAAGGTGATGCACTGAGGGGTTGATGGTGATACAGAAAAGGGGGTGCGCTAGTGATATGAAGGTGAAGGACTTCTGTAACTGTGGTTGTCACATTTAGAAAAAGAAGAAACGAAGACAAATAAAAGGAAGAGGTGATAGTGGTGGTGTAACGACAACAAGGAAGAAATGAAATTTAAGAATAAGAAGAATGAGACTCAATAGCGTGTTTTATGAATAAATGTTCTGATGACCTAAATTTATCAGTAACTACTTAATGATATTTATATCAGACATTTATCGACAAATTGTACAATTTGTTTATAAAATTTACCAACGATCATTTTATCTTGATATATTGTGTTATGTAATTTTCTTTTATAGTGTTTATAGATAAAATAAATTATCAATGAAAACAATCTTTTTGAAGGTAATTAACTAAAAATCTTCTATAGAGACTAATTATTGAAAGTAAAAAAGTAATATATATATTAAGTTGTGTTTCCTATGAATTAGGATAAGATCAAATGGAATGTTGATCTGGTGCTCTACCAGTGCGGTCCATCGTATGCTTAGATTTTAAGTTTGATTATTTTATTTTTATGTAACAAAAATGGATTGAGTAATAGAGACAGGCTTAGCAGCCATGAAAGTTGAGCCACCCGTCACTAATATTAAATTTTCATACAATAGCCAAATGGTCAATGTTTGGTTAAAAATAAT